TTTTTGTATTTTTTGTAGAGAAGGGGTTTTACCATGTGGCCCAGCCTGGTCTCGAACTCCTAGGCTCAAGTGCTCTATTCACCTTGGCCTCCCAAAGTGCTGAAATTGCAGGCATAAGCCACCATGCCTGGCCAAGATGGGTTATCTCTAAGTTATGGTAAGCTAGTTGAACAACCTGCTTTTTTCTCCCTCCATCAAAATGTGTGGGGTGTGCCATGAGATGACAAACAAGACCTGTAAAGCATTTAGAAACATCAGGAGGCACTGGTTTCCAAAAGAACTTTTCCTTTGTATTTAGTGGTTGATTTATTTAAAGTGGTTGAGAATCTTGCTTCTACCTAGGATGCAGAAAGCTGGAAAGAATGTTTGCTTTAGCCTAATAATGAGAAAAAGTGAGATAAATAAAAAAATCACAAATTTCTTGTGCTTGTTGGAGAGCTGAGGTAGCACAGCAAATAGCCTGAAATCTAAAGACAGACCCATTCCTCCCAAGGGAGATGGGACATGTACACACTGTTTAGACTGTGGCTTTTACCTGTGGTAGGCAGAAATTTCCTACAAACAGAAGAAAAAGTGAAAGAGGATGGACCAAAAAAAATATTTGGAGATGTAATACCTGAGATTTTCCAAAATATAATGAAAGATTCAGAAAGCTCAGAGAACCTCAAGCAAGATTAAAACCCAAACCAAGCAAAAGCAAAACAAAATCCTTAAAACAAAAAGAAAAACATAAACAAAACTTATACCTAGATACATTATTTCCAAACTGCAAAAACCAAATAAATCATGGAAGCAGCCCAAGCAAAAGAGACAACCACATACAGAGGAACAAGGATAAGAGCTACAGCACACTTCTCATTAGAAAAACGTAAGTCAAAGGACAACTGAGTGACATATTTAAAGTACTGGAAACCTATATATAATTGTTGGCCCAGAATTCTATATAGTGAAAAATATATCTTTCAAAAATGAAGGACAAATAGACTTTTTTTTTTCCCAGATAGACAAAAACAGAGACTTTACAGTAGACTTGTGCTATAAGAAATATTAAAGGTAGTTTTAAACCAGGAGAAATAGGATATCAGACAGAAATGTGGATCTAACATGAAATAATTCTGAAACAGTGATTCTTCTAGAGTACTTCGAGAAATAAACACACATGCCCTCCCAAAGGATCTGCCCTCAACTGACAATATGACAATGCTGCTAACTACAGTATGGCAGAGTGGGTCACTTGAAAAATTGCCCACCAGAAAATACCTAGAAAGACTGGCTAAAATAGGGCCGGGCGCGGTGGCTCAAGCCTATAATCCCAGCACTTTGGGAGGCCGAGGCGGGTGGATCATGAGGTCAAGAGATCGAGACCATCCTGGTCAACATGGTGAAACCCCGTCTCTACTAAAAATACAAAAAATTA